TGAAAAATCTTGGTTCTCCCGTAGCTGAATGGGACTTCATTTTGACCAATATGCTTCTTACGATTTGAACTGTTTGAGTAATAATTGTCATTCTAACAGTATGTGTAGGTCAGTTCATACATGTCGCATATGTGACGCCAAGCATCACTCGCTGCTTCATGTTATTCAATACACAAATGCTTCGCAACCCTCTAATAATCCTTAATCGCCTGTAGTTGAAATCGCACAATCTTCAATTTTGAAAAATCATATTTCAAATACCGAATGTACGCTGACCACTCGCCCTGAATCCGCAGCTGTATCCCCCAGCCAACTACAAATTATTTCGCTCATTCTACGCTGAAAGTTAATATTTGCGAAATAAGCAAACCGGTAGAGTACTCATAGATCCAGGTAGTGAGTGCGGTTAATTCGCAGAAAAACTAGGTTTACCGATAAAAATGAGCGCTGCTACTATTTACGGACTAGGAGGTATGGAAATGTATAATAATTTAGGCCAAATTTCGGTTACTGTTACCCCTCTAAATAAATCGCAGCCTACTTTAAATTTTGCTGATATTGTTTCGGATAAAATTGGTGGTAATACGAGGAAGATTTTGCTCTTTAGAAAAACGCATTTCTTTATACGAATTCTATACAAGACATGATAGACAATAACTATATGTCTTTGTCTGATAACATTCATTCTTCTTTGCTTAATGACTATTTCATACCGCATCATTACGTGTTTAAACCGAAATCAACTACCACAAAATTAAGAGTTGTTTTCGATGCTAGATTCTAATCAGTTATCGCTAAATGACACACTTATGCCAGGTCCTAAACTCCAGAAGGATATTAGTCAACTTCTTCTGAATTTTAGATTGCCACGAATCGCTATAACCGTTAACATTAAGTCAATTTATTTGTAAATCTTATGGATATTTTCACCAGACGCTCAACTTGAGAAGTATGTTCTGAACACTGTCAGTTTTGGCATTAGTTGCTCGCCTTATTTAGCATTAAAAACTATCCAGCACTTAACAAAACATGAAGAGCACAATCATCCATTTGCGTGCTTTTAACCGCCCCTCGTATTCACGTTTTCTGGAAGATGTTAAATTAGTCATTAAATACAGTTCCGATATTCTAAAATTGGCATAGTGCGCCGTTCTATATATTATTTTGTATCCTATAAAGAGTCTCGAATACTCCAGCAAACCTGATGTTTTTATGACATACCACAGTCGTTTTTGTTGCCATGTGTTACACACAGAAATGGACAGAAATTGATATTTTTCGTTTTCCGTCTTAGAAATTATTATAATGAATGAAATGATTTAAATCAATTTTTAAGCCTTGTGGTAGCACTAGACGATATTCAGGACGTCAGGAATGCGCTATGAGGCAGGACTAATAGGTTCAGGGATTTGCAGGGGAAAAACAATACGCCAAAGTGGCGTATTGAGGCACAGGCTAAAATGGGCATGTAGTACCCTTATAACGAATGAGAAGTCTTTCTTCCACATTCAGATGCCTTGGGGGACTTGTCAAGCCTCTTGGTGTTGTGAGCCGCGTAAGGTCCCTAGCAGTGGGCAAAAAGGTACTAAGGTCCCTTTTGGTTGTAGTATAGGTTTAAAAGCACTTTAGAGTGGTCATCGTGCGGGAATTGCAACCTGCACGGAGCTGATGCACTGCCGGTCGTCGGAGAGACGCTAGAACTGGCTATAGGCCCTGCAGGGTCTGATCTAGCCCTTTGGAATGAGATGCCCTAGGGGTGTAAGCACTCATTTTATAGGGTGCGCCGTAAGGAATCGAATAGAAATACTTTTGATTCAATCAAATGCACCGCGTTGGCGTCACGACGTCAAGAAGATTTGCAGTGGCGGACGGCATGACGTAGCGACCAAGGTCGGTTCTAGAACACTGGCGAGCACTATAAAATCGCGGGCGTATGTACGCCGTGGCTCTTTCTTTTCCGTTGTTCTTTCCTGGCAGAAACCGTAGTACCAAAGCACCCGCTTACACCAAGAGGTAAGGGGATGAGATACAAGGGTGTTCCGTTTAACCGTTTTAAACCAGTAACGTTCCGTTTTAGTGATATAGTTGTTTATCAGATATATCTACAGGGTGTTCCTTAATGATATGCGAATATTTAAGGGTGTAAATCTACATGAAAAATTAAGGTTAGTTTGCTTTATAAACTACGGTCCAAAAATGTTTCCTTACAAAAACTAGGGGTGTTGAAGTTTTAGGAAAAACATGGAAATTAATTAATATTTGCAGAACCACTTCAGATATTCCACTGATATTTAGTATGTAGTGAAAGTTGATAAAGCTGCATATTTTTCAATGCAAAAATAATTTTTAGCTTCAACAGTGGCGTGCGTAAGGGGTATTGACTTCGATATTTTTTAAGAAAAAAAATGGTACTCCATGGTTTTTTTGCCAAATAAAAATTATTTTTGAATTCCCCGTTCAATTTAAAACAAATGATCTCTCTTGAATTGTTTTCCTTCGATGCGCCATTTTTCAGTAAAAAAATAAAAACCGTTCTATTGTCCGAGAAAATTAATTTAATAATTGAAGAATGCAATTTAGCAATAAATATCTAGTTGCTCTGGAATATGTCACTTTCTTTTGACATCTGACAAGTCTCTGTTATTCATATCTGTTTGTTGTGACGTCTTTTTCATTATTTAGTTTTTACAATCTTGTTAATAATGGTGAATTATTCAAATGCAGAAATGGCGGAAATTCATTACGTATATGGCCTTGCCGACGGTAACGGTGAGCAAGCCAGACGGATTTATCACCAGACATATCCCGATCGTGCTTTGCCAGATAGTCGAACCTTTTCTAATATTCATCGTCGTCTTGTTGAAACTGTTTCTATCCGAAAAGGAACATCTGAAGGTGGACCTCGAGAACACCTGAAATTGAGGAAGCAGTGCTGCACGAAGTCGAGGAACATCATGAAACGAGTACGAGGAAGATCGCTAGACACTTGAATATTTGCCATAAAATTGTTTGGAGAATTTTAGTGGATTTTTTGTTATATCCTTATGTAGTAATGTAATCCACTAAAATTCTCCAATCAATTTGATGGCAAATATTTACGTGTCTAGCGATCTTCCTCGTACTCGTTTCAGGAGGTTCTTCGACTGCGTGCAGCATTGCTTCCTCAATTTCAGGTGTTCTCACACTTAGAGGTCCATCTTCAGATGTTCCTTTTCGGACAGAACCAGTTTCAATAAGACGACGATGAATATTAGAAAAGGTTCGACTATCTGGTGAAGCACGATCGGGATATCTCTGGTGATAAATGCGTCTGGCTGGCTCACCATTACCATTTGAATAATTCACTATTATTAACAAGATTGTAAAAACTAAATAATCAAAAAGACGTCGCAGCGAACAGATTTGAATAACAGAGACTTGTCAGATGTCAAAAGCCAGTGACATATTCCAGAGCAACTAGATATTTATTGCTAAATTGTATTCTTCAATTATTACATTAATTTTCCCGGACAATAGAACGGTTTTTATTTTTTTACTGAAAAATGGCGCATCGAAGGAAAACAATTCAAGAGAGATCAGTTGTTTTAAATTGAACGGGGAATTCAAAAATAATTTTTATTTGGCAAAAAACCATTGGCGTACCATTTTTATTTCTTAAAAAATATCGAAGTCAATATCCGTACTCACGCCACTGTTGAAGCTAAAAATTATTTTTGCATTGAAAAATATGCATAATTTCCATTTTTTTCCTAAAACTTAAACTTTTTGTAGGGAAACATTTTTGGACCATAGTTTATAAAGCAAACTAACATTAATTTTTCATGTAGATTCACGCCCTTAAATATTTGCATATCAGTAAGGAACACCCTGTATACCCCGCTTAGTTTTACCTAAACATTATAACTACATAGATTGTTGGTTTTTCTGATGCCAGCTCAAACGCTCATTCAGCCGTAGTTTTTATGAGAATTATTACGCATTCAACTATACAGATTTCTCTGTTATGTGCGAAATCTAAGGTGAACTCAAGTTTCTATACCGCGATGTGAACTACTAGAAGCAGCTTTGTTGTTTCAACTATTGCGCTTTGTTATTAACACATATAGTAATAAAATTTCCTTCAAACATATTTTCCCATTTACAGACTCTACAATCGTTTTAAATTGGCTTAATTCCTCACCACACAGATGAAAACCATTTGTAGCCAATAGGATATCAAGCATTCAGGAAATGCTACCTGATGTTCGGTGGTATCATCTGGCTTCGAAAAATAATATCGCAGATTGCGCATCTCGTGGTTTACAGCCCTTAGATTTTAAAAACTATGAACAGTAGTGGGCAGGCCCTGCTTTATTGTCGCATCCATATGCACATTGATTGGCCCACCGCATGTCCTCCAATAAACATACCACACTGTGTGGACAATGAGCAAAGAAAAACCGCTCTTATGTCAAACATAGATTCGAATATAATGGATATGCTTTTGATCAAATTTTCAGCGTTATCCATATATTCAAAGATTTATTTATAACGCTAGGCATCCCAAAACAAAATTTTTATCTCCGCTCATCGCTTCATGTCTGAAGAACGAAATGTACGCTTTGCTCAAGCACACTCAGAGCAAATACTTTTCTTCAGATATTTATAGTTTAAAGGCCAATAAGGTCGCTTCTAAACCGCTAAGGAAACTTGGTGTTTTTCTAGATGATAATGGAATTCTCAGAGTTGGTGGTAGTCTACACAATTCACTCTTAAGTTATGACAAAAGATTTCCTAACACAGATTCTACCAAATGTATCCAATGAACAAGGGACGAAAAGCGAAAATTGGATATATCTGTTTTAAATGTTTCCCAATCTATTTTTCGGGCTAGTGCAGAATCGTTAGGCTACGACGAGAAAAGTGGACGTTTATTTATCGTCCAAAACAGTCACTGCCGATTTTTTCTAAAAATACCTTATCCGAGATAATTCAGTTAATTTTCACTTAAAAATTTGCAGGAGGGCAAACCCGAAGACGTCGGCATACCGTTTGATTCGGATCTCATCAAATGCTGTCCCATGTGCAACGTTCCTATCGAAAAAGACGAGGGCTGCGCGCAGATGATGTGCAAAAGGTGCAAGCACGTCTTTTGTTGGTATTGCCTCGCCAGCCTGGACGTGAGTACATTTGGTTGTAGCTTAGTAGATACTTCCTATCTTCGCATCTGCTGGGAAAAATATTCTGATTAATTTTTTTTTTTTTGAATAATCTCATTCAAAAAGGACCGACACCCTTCAAGGCCGTAAATTGCATCAAAAATCGATATTTTTTTAACCGTTTGCACTCCAGACAAAGTTGTTCTAGAGTTTTTCAGTCATTCTGAACAAGAGAGATTCTCAAGAACTTTTATCTATAGTAGATATGTTATATTTTCAATTTGTTTGTTTGTTTCACAAAATATATTATGTCTTCAAGACTACTTATTTTCATTACTGTGAATTCTGGTTTTCCATGAGATATGTTTTCAATTTCCCTTTGAACATTTTCAAACTGACACACATCTTGATATCATTACTTAATTTATTAAATTCGTAGAATCCCTTTTGAAATCCCGACTTGCTCGTTATTGCTACTGCAGTTTTGTAAATGAAAGTCTATACTTCCTCTAGTAGAATAATTGTGGCACTCATTGTTCAATACAATAAAATTTTCTAAGTGATTTGGTAGAAGATGATTTTTCAACTTGAATATGAAAATGAAAACCAAGTAAGCTATGAATTTTTTGATATTCAACCATTGTAGTTCTTTCAGCATAAAATTTATTCCAGTATATTTATTTTTATTTAAGATGATTCTCGTAGCTTTATTTTGTAATATTTGTAATTTTGAAAATACAGTTTCATTTGCAGTCAACAAAATAGTTGAACAATATAACAAATGAGGAAGAATGATAGTGTTGTACATAATTTTTTTAGAATAGGCCATACGATATTCTATAAAAGTAACTTATTTACTGGAATATTTTTGAAATAATATATTCATAGTGCCCTTCAAATTTTAATTTACTGTCTACGTATATGCCCAAATATTTAAATGATTCGATTGACACAATTTTTTTATGATTAATTGTAAGATTTATCATATTTTGATCTAAAGATTTTCCTATTAGCATATATTTTGTTTTTTTGTGTTTAAAGTTTGTTTACATTTAACCAATTTATTTCGTTTTTCATATCATTATTTAACAGCTCTATTGCAGTTTCAATGTCTTTATTTTATTTATATATATATATATACAGGGTGTCCCAGAAGTCGACGTCAAGCCGAAACCGGGTGATAGGCAAAGTCATAACAGCTATCAGAAAAATATTTAAAATAATTTTATGTATGTGTTTTGAAAATTATAGGTCTTTGAAAAAAATATAGAAATTTCACACCCTACGGCAGTCTGTCAACTCCTGTTACTACAAATATTAACTTTTTGTGGATTTTATTTTTACAATGTAATGATGAATGATGCATCTTCAAAGTGGTGTATCAACCTTACTGACAAGTTTTTTCGTTCAGGAAAAATTGCCACTTATTTCCCAACCAAGTATTCCAAAGTAAAACTTTGCTCACTTTAACTGGCTCTACTGGAAAAAATGTACTACGAGAGTTTGGCAAGTAACCTTAAAAGTTGGCGCATTTAATAAGGATTCCAAAATGGTATAACACTTAGAAGATTACTCGTTAACTTATGCACAATTTTTATTTGAAAAAAAACTGATGAAAATTTTTCAAAATTTCCTAATTAAACAGCGATTATGAAAACGCACAAGGACCCTTAAGGATAACTGTTTGCACAACAGTGGACGTCAAAATGCTGCTGATGATGATTTACCTTTACAGCAAATGCTCAAACTGTTTTCCTTCAGCCGCAATACACGCTCGACATCTTCTTAAAACTGAGAGTGCATAGTGCGCTGGGCAGCCATCATGCTGAAACCACATGTCCCTGTAAACACTCAGTGGCACGTCCACCAATAAATTTTATACATGATTTTTCAAAAAATCCAAATAAACTTTAGCAGTCAAAGACTCTGGGAACTCAAACGGACCGATTATTTTACCATTTAAAATTCCTGTCCAATGGTTTATCTTGAAGCGATATTGAGATTTATCTTCTCTCATCAAATGTGGGTTTGCTACGTGCCACTCGTGTAAGTTATGCAGGTGCATGTACCCATCTTTCTTAAATGTGGTCTCATCCGACCATACAATTTTTTCAAAGAACTGTGCATCTTTCCTGTGTCTTTCTAACATTGTGCGACAAAAAGCAATTCGGGGCTCATAATCCCGGGGCAGGAGAGGTTGAACACGCTGTATGTGGTATGGATGAAGCACATCACTTACTTGCTATTGCACACTTTGATACCGATCAGTACTCCTTCGTTTACTGCGCATCTTTACATGTTCGTGCTTGTTGATTTCGCACTGTTACTAATTTTGGATTCGTAAACTGGACTGTTGATCGCTTGTGATTTGGATTTGGACTGTTTAATTGCTCTTCAAAACAACATTTGCTTTCCTTAGACTATCTTTGATAGTGTGATTGTGCAGTGCCGCTATGTCCGTGTACACCGTACAAGAATATGCTAACATGCACCTCATTTATGGGGAATGCAGATGCAACGCTAGTGCTGCAGCGAGACTTTACTGTGAGAGATACCCGAATGCAGCTCGTCATCCAGATCATCGAGTGTTCACAAATGTGCACCGCTTACTGTTCTCAGAGGGCCAGCTACCAAACCAATCACACGGTGAGGGAAGATCTTTCCTTCCTTACGAAGACGTGGTGCTAGGAGCTGTCGAAGAAGACCCGAGTACTTCAGTGCGTGCAATAGAACTAAAAACAGATGTGCTCAAAAGTACAGCCCATAGAATCTTGCAAAAAAACGTGCTCCATCCATACCACGTACAGCGTGTTCAAGCTCTCCTGCCCCGGGATTATGAGCCCCGAGTTGCTTTTTGTCGCACAATGTTAGAAAGACACAGGAAAGATCCACAGTTCTTTGAAAAAATTGTATGGTCGGATGAGACCACATTTAAGAAAGATGGGTACATGAACCTGCATAACTTACACGAGTGGCACGTAGCAAACCCACATTTGATGAGAGAAGATAAATCTCAATATCGCTTCAAGATAAACCATTGGACAGGAATTTTAAATGGTAAAATAATCGGTCCGTTTGAGTTCCCAGAGACTTTGACTGCTGAAGTTTATTTGGATATTTTGAAAAATCATGTACAAAGTTTATTGGTGGACGTGCCACTGAGTATTTACAGGGACATGTGGTTTCAGCATGATGGCTGCCCAGCGCACTATGCACTCTCAGTGAGAGAGTATCTCGATCAAAACTTTCCAGGCAGATGGATAGGGCGGTCTGGTACAATACCGTGGCCAGCCTGATCACCTGATTTGAATCCTTTAGATTTTTTTACTGGGGAACTGTAAAAGAAAAAGTGTATTTCTAGCCGATTCCAAATGTAGCTGAGCTACGGCAAAGACTATTGGAAGCAGCTGAGTTTGTTAATAACCGTGGATTCGCTCGTTTAATAACCCGATCTTTTTTAAGAAGATGTCGAGCGTGTATTGCGGCTGAAGGAAAACACTTTGAGCATTTGCTGTAAAGGTAAATCATCATCAGCAGCATTTTGACGCCCACTGTTGTGGAAACAGTTATCCTTAAGGGTCCTTGTGCGTTTTCATAATCGCTGTTTAATTAGGAAATTTTGAAAAATTTTCATCAGTTTTTCTTCAAATAAAAATTGTGCATAAGTTAACGAGTAATCTTCCAAGTGTCATACCATTTTGGAATCCTTATTAAATGCGCCAAACTCTCGTATTACATTTTTTTCCAGTACAGCCAGTTAAAGTTGAGCAAAGTTTTACTTTGGAATACTTGGTTGGGAAATAAGTGGCAATTTTTCCTGAACGAGAAAAGTTGGCAGTAAGGTTGAGACACCACTTTGAAGATGCATTATTCATCATTACATTGTAAAAATAAAATCCACAAAGAGTTAATATTTGTAGTAACAGGAGTTGACAGACTGCCGTAGGGTGTGAAATTTCTATATTTTTTTCAAAGACCTATAATTTTCAAAACACATGCATAAAAATTTATTAAATATTTTTCTGATAGATGTTATGACTTTGCCTATCACCCGGTTTCGGCTTGACGTCGACTTCTGGGACACCCTGTATATATCAATGTATCATCAGCAAATAGTTGAATTTTGCAGTATTGTAAAATATCAGGAATATCGTTAATATATAGAATAAATAGTAATGGATCTAAGTTGCTACCCTGGGCCACACCTACCGAATGTTTTGCCAATTTTAGTTCTTTGACTTCTATTGATTAAATAATTTCGTAAAAAGTTGAATACTGAACCTTGAAATCCATAGCAATGCAATTTCGTTAACAATTTCTCCCTGTCAATAGTCTCAAATGCTCTCTTGAAATCCAAGAACAATGTTACTGTAAACTTTTTTTCATCCATATTTCACCTCCATGCTTCTACTACCATTTGAATTGCTGTTTCAGTAGAAAACTTTTTTCTGAATCCTGCTTGAAATTTTGTCAATATCTTATTTTCTTCAATATATTTAATGGCTTGTTCCTATATGATTGCTTCTAAGAGCTTCTTGACATCTGGCAGTACATTAATTGGCCGCATGTTTGTATATAACTCAGAATTTTTCGCTTTTGGAACAGGAGTAATTGTAGAACATTTTAATCTTGAAGGAAATTCTCCATACACTAAACAGTGATTCACTAACAATAATAACTTCTCTCCAATAATGTTGAAACATTCCTTCATAACCATTTACTAGGATTTCTATTCGATTTCAATCTTGTAATAGCTTTTGAAAGATAGCTGATATTTATTGTTTGGAATTTTCTCATATAAGAATTACAAGTAACTTGCACGTGACATAGATTTGGATCCCCATCTTCGATTGATTCCACTATCTCGTTTATACTTTCTATAAAATAAGCGTTCATTCGTTATGCAATCAATATTTTTTGTATTACTATACCATCTTCGCAGCACATTCTTGATAATTCATTCTTCCTACTCAATCCCCCATTCATTTGTCAGTTGTCACTTGGTACCAACTCAACAGATA